CAGAGAACAAAGAGATGGGCCGGGCCATGCCGTGCTGAGCCCACACGCCATGCACCCTCCCCACCCTGCCCCGCTAGGTGTCCCCCAGCCCGGGGCCCGGCCCGGCGCTGCCCCTGACCGCTCTCCGCCACCTCCTATTGATTTTTCGGGCCCCGGGCGCCACTACGGGCGAAGTGTGTGGAGGGGCCGGAGGGCCAGGGGCTGCCTAGGGCCGGCCGCCTCATTCCGAGGAGGCGGCCCGTCGCTCTGTCTCTCTCGCGCCCCTGTGGCGCCCCGCCAGTGCGACAGGGACGGGCCGAGGGGACGACACTCCGGTCGGCGGGCCGCCTGGATCTCGTAGGGATGAGGCAGGACACGCTCCTGTATTTTTAGCGCAGGCAGTGGCTGGATCAGCTGGCGGCAGCTCGCACGGCAGCAGGGCGGCGTGATGCTGCCGCGCGTCGACGCTCGTCGTGGTGCAGCCCGGCCGGGCCGCTAGGGCACTGGCGGGGTGTTTCGCGCTCGCTAAGTCGCGGCTTTAACTCGTCGCCGCCTCGGAGCGCCTCGCAGCGCCTCGCGGCTTGGCCGAGGGCTCCGCGGCGCCTCCGAGTCCCCCCGCCCCAAGGCCAAGAGCGGCTGCCGGCAGAGACGGAAGTCGTCCGCGACCCTCCAAGCCCTGCCGGCCCCGCGTGGCCCCGCCCCGCCCTGCCCCACATTCCCGCCCCTCCCCAGGCTCAACCTCGCGCCAAGTTACTTCTGCTGGTGCAGCAGCGCGCCGAGGGGGCCGAGGGGGCGCGGCGTGGTGTGGGTGAGCTGATTACACAACGCTTGGTCGTAAACTCATCGGCCCGTAACCTTGACTTTGAGTCGGCGTGGGCGGGCGCGCGTGTTGTTCTGGAGCCAGCCTGGGCAGCCTGGCGCAGCCTTGGCCATCCGCTGTGATTTGTGTCCCTCGCCACGCGTGCGTTAACTTACTGCTTTACTGCCTCCCCGTCCCTGAATCTGCGCCGCGCTGCGGAAAACCGTACATACCAAGCGCGGATCCGCAGGGATGGTCGAGTGGTATATTGCCCCCACTACTTGGTCTGAAACGAAGACCCCTGTAAGAAGGCAAAAAGTGCCAAGTTTCAACTGAGAAATGTGGGTCATTCGCAGCGTCCCAACCTTAAAGATGGCCCTCCGAGCATCTTCGGAGCTTTCTCGTGCCCGTGTGATGGCGATTCCCAAAGAGCCTCCGGCAAGTTGATTACGAAAGACTCCTCCGGCTTACCGGCCTGCTAGTTGAGTGCTCACGGCCCAAAGTGGCAGCGATTCCGGGCGTTTAGTGCACGCCACTAAAACAACTACGATAAAGCTGTCCGAGCAATGACACGGCAGACTCTCTTCGCGCGCCACTAAATCCCTATAAACGCGGCGGAGGGTGTGTCGCCGCCCGAACTCTTTGAGCGCCGCTCTGCGCTCGAATTTTTTTCTGCCAGTGTGGCAGTTCGGAAGGCGGTCCCTTTGCTTCGCTTTCGCCTCTCTTTTGCCGGCAGTCGGCGGAATGAAACGGTTCGTGGAATGTAGTGCGGCTTCCGGTTCGACGATACAAGACACGCGGCGCGGCCCTGGTTGGGCTGGCCATGTGGCACTGCCGGGCCTGGACCGCTGACGACCCCTTTTTCTTCTTTTTTTGCGTCGTTCCCGTCGCGGTTTTCCTCATTTCTGGCGCCCGGATCGACCGCACGCTCGTTTCGCCTGTCTTGCCAGCCCTTTCACAGAACACTTTACGCCGTTTGCTTCCCGCCTGCCGCGGGCCAGCCACCCAGGACGTGAGCGCGCGTCAACCAGGGCGCCTCCACGGGCCCGCCGGCCCGGCCTGGAGGCTCTGCCCTGAGCCCTGCAACCATTCTGGAGCTCTCCACCCGCAACCACAATGGAGCCATTCTGGAAGGGGAGCCGGGCCGTGCCGGGCCGTGCCGTGCTACAGGAGGGTGGTCAGGGACACGGGCGGCACAAGTAGAACGGGGTGGGGGGTGAGTGTGGCGACGCCACTGGCGCCCAGCCGCGACATGCGAGAACAGAGTCGGTGGCTGCATAATGTATAGCGTCAAGCCAAGACGTGGAGGCACGTGTGGCTGTGGCACGCCACGCCAGGCCACGCCTAAGAGACGCCGGGGGTGGCCGCGACCCCGCCTCAGCAGGAAATCCGACCGTGCATGCATACCATCGGTGTCCCCTTTGCCGGGAGGACCTAGGTCCAAGGGCCCAGCCCTAGGTCCCGGTCCTAGGTCCCTGGTGGTGAGCCCCTCCAGCCCTTTCTCCATCCCCGGGGTTTTGGGAAGGGTTGGGCCTAAAGGGCATGGCCAGCATGGCCGCTCAAATTGGGGATATAGCCGCTCCTGGATCAGGCAGGACGCCGGGGGCTTGGCTGTTGGATGCGAGGGCGCTAGGCGTTTTTTGCTAGTTTTCACGCGTCAGCAGGTCTTTGCTGGTTTTCTCGGCCGCAGTCGCTCTGATCTTGCAGTTTTGCTCGAGATACGTTTGGCCCAGCCCCTCGTGGTAAGATGTAAGGGAAAGTGTTCCAACATGGGGGCTGTAAAAATAGGGGAACAAGTTTGGCGTGGAACCAAAAACGGATTAAAGCTCTTCGTACCTACCATTTTTAAGAAAAGATTCATCTCTTTAATTTTCTTTTCTCACGCTTATTGTTCCCTTCCGCGTGACAATAGTCACAAACAGACTTCTCGTGCCGAAACACGCGACTCTCAACGAGGCAGGAGGCGAGACAGCGAGGCTAAATGACGCGGGCCGCGCGCAAAAGGCGGCCAAATGATGCTGAAAGGACGGACAAGTGGCGCCTCGTCTCGTCGCGCCCCGCCAAGGTGGTCTCGGGGACGCTCAAGCAGTTTCCACGCCGTGCGACGCACGCAGCCAAGCCCACGCAGTGCGCCAAGCAGCCACGGTGGAGGGGGCGCCCTTGACGAGGGCAGGGGCGGAACGGCCAGCACGGCAGGCATGACAGCGGCCATGGTAAATGAGGGGTGGAACGGGGGGAGGGTGAGATAGATATCAAGAGATGCCGCCGGGGGAAGGGGGGGGGGCGACGTGGGGCCCACTCAGGGCGCGCTGCGTTCACCTTGACCCTGATAAGGCCGTCATGTTTTCCCTGTCCAGGCGTGCACGACGGACCGCCTTAATTGTTTTCGTCGCGACGTCCCGCGCGTAAATACGTCACCCGGACGGTGGCGCTCTGTCTCTCTCGCAGCCCTGCCGAACGCCGTGCGAGTCCGACACAGACGGAGCGATGAAACCAGCTTGGCCTGCCGTTCGTGTGGGGGAGAGGGGCCTCGGGAGAGTGACGCGGGGAGACGGCGAAAAGCTTAAGCCCTTCTTGCGGCCGCCTTGAAGCCTGGCGCGGCTTGGCGTGGGTGTTTGTTTGCGCCCCGTCCCCGTCGGCAGCTGTCGCCCAGGCATCAGCCTGCCTCACAGTGGCGTCGCGATCGGGCCCGAAACGGCGTTCATTGTCCTGTCGAGCGCGGCACAGCCCAGGCACAGCCCAGGCACAGCCTGCATCCGGCCTCTCTTCCGCGTGCTCAGGCCTTTCGTTCCTCTCAACTGGTTTTCCGATTCAGCCCCCGCCTCGGTGGCCAAACCCCACATCAATTCGGACACTCGTTTTGGCGGGTGTTTCTGCCCGTCCTTGGTGAGCACAGGGCAAGCCGGGCTTTTTTGGCACGGCGGCGCGGCGAGGAGTCCTTGGGACTTTCGACTTTCCCGTTCGTTACTGTCTTTTCTTTTTCGAGTGCGGCTCCGAAAGTCCGCCCGAAGTGACGGCGTCGCTCCCGACTCGGCGTGCCGCGGCGTGCGCCTGATTCCGCATACGAATGCCCAGCGGGCGGGCCGCCGCACTCACTTAAAAACGTTCAAGTGTCGGAGTTGGAGAAGTGAACAGGGCGAAGGTAAGGGCCAGGCCTCCGCACGGGGCCGACCTGGTGGACTCCTGGGGGAGATAGTTATCTTTCTGAAGCGCCATTGAGGGAAAAGGAAAAAAATTGAAAGGGGCAAAGTTAGATTAGCAAAGTTGTTGTTGGACGGCCCAGTGATCGGGTTCGATGGCAGGCGCGCGGGGTGCGGCCGCGGGGCGGGCCAGCGACACTAATAGTCTTCATTGCAGTCGGAAATTGGATTAGTCGGAGGCGAGGAGCCCGGGGGGCCAACAAGCGGGCTGGTCGGTGACCGAGTCGGTGACGCCCGGGCGCAAAACCGCAGAGGGGGCTTGACACGCTGCGATACAAGCGACTCTCAAGAGCGGCGGCGCGACTTGGCGAAAATACAGGCCAATAAAATGATAAGTCAGTCTAGAGAGATTCTTGCCCCGGGGGAAAGTATCGGAGAAGCGCGAGGAACACGCGATAACGTTCCGAAAAGCAATTTATTCGCCGTTGGTGGCAATCTTACACCCGGCACGCCTCGTGCACACGCGCAGCCTGCCGAGCCATTCTGGAAAGTCCTTTCGTCGCCCTCTCTTTCTTCCATCTCTCTCGACCCTGCGGAACGCGCCGCGCGTGCGACACAGACAGCAACACAAAGACTTTTTGGAAGCGGTCTGCTGCACGCCTCGACAACTTCCTGGAGCGACTCGATTCAAGTGACACCAAAGCACGTCGCCACGCCGGCTGTGTTGGCTTTGCCAGTCTGCCGTCCACACTGTAAAAAAAATCTTGAAATTCTCTAGAACTTGTAGTAGAAAACTGCCGGAGATTTCTGACTGAGAACTAGAGATTTTGACTGAGGGTGAACGCTCCCTGTGCCCTGTTGTGCTTTGAAGGCAGTAATTAACTGCAGCAACCCAGCACAAATAGAGATAGAGGTCGAAAACATATCATTTTTACGGAGATAGGTTCCTGCACCTTCCATCCCGTTATTTATCCCCCATTGAAGTACAGTCCATGGCATCTTGCGCATGTTTTTCCTATTCTTTGTCATCGTAGTTGCTTTTGTGACGTTCGCTGCTGTAAAGCTACCCGTCTGTGTTTCAGGAACGACTGTAAGACAGCAGAGTTGGCGGACAGAGCACAAGGCGGCCCGTACTCTGGGAATCATCATGGGCACCTTTATGTTGTGCTGGTTGCCGTTTTTCCTGTGGTAAGTTCGTTGAGGGGTCACTGTGGATAGACAGACAAAAAAAACTTTGACGTCTACCGCAGGAACCTTGAGAAAGGAATGTAGTCCTTATTTGGCAGGAACTGACGTCCGACGTTTTTCGATAGGTACGTCATCACTACGTTGTGTGGAGAGGCCTGTCCGTCGCCCGACATGGTGGTGGCTGTCCTCTTCTGGATAGGCTACTTCAACTCGGCGCTCAACCCACTTATCTACGCCTACTTCAATCGGGACTTCCGGGAGGCGTTCAAAAACACACTTCAGTGCTTCTTCCCGTGTTGCTGTACCTGCTGGAAGCCAGCGTCTCCTGAGAACTTTGTCTAGTTGTGTAAGGTTATACTGAAAATGGTTGTCAAAGTACCAGTTACGTACGATTGTAAATACTAGAACGTTCAGAATAGGATTAAAGTGTTCTGAAAGCTCTTGTGATTTTCCGGTTAGAATATTTACCTGGGACAGCGTCAGAATTTACTACACGTCTGGATTGCGACCAGTGACTCTTCAACTTATGTTTAAATTCTATTCTTCCTTATTATGTAATATTGCCCGCAGTGATATCTGAGCAAACTATCTAGACAACTCATCCTACTCCTACAGCCTGCCTTATAGTATGTTTAGATGAATAAACACTTAATAGTCATTTTTTCGATGAATTTAAAACAAATGGACTAATTTAGGCAATGAAAAATCTAATGTTCACTTGCAATAATTGTAAAATCTTTGTGGTGCTCTCAAAATGAAAAAGAACATTGAATATATCTCACATTAGAATAGACGCAGTGTATGGTTTCTGCTGTTTCTTTTCAAATGGATGGGCCTTTCTGTCAAAAACTTTCTGATTGAACACTTACCCTTGCTGAATAGATTTTCCTTTGTAAGTTATTTTAATGTGATATGCCATCTGCGTGTATCTGGCTGGAACTGAGCGTTTCACGACTGCTAAGCAGGCTTACGAGGTCAAAGAATTTCTGTAGAAGAAAACGTCAAAATGCCTTTCCCGTTCGCACTGATAACATTTATGTCAGAAAGGTAACATTTGTCCATGCCCTATTGTTAATGCCAAACCAGATCAAGCAAAACGTTGAAAGCAGGTAATCTTTGACCGTGTGAGTTTTGCTCTTTTTATTAAATTGGTACCTGACTTGATTCTTGTAGAGAATTTTATTCTGTGGGAAAAGACTCCTATGAGATTATTTGTTCGATAGGATAATTATCAATTTCTATTTACATGTATAATATATTCTTAGATTGTTCCATAAGACTTCACGGTTTCCGCGTGTTGTCTGTCCTTCTACGACTGCTAACATTAAGTATCAAAATAAGTTTAAAGACATGCTTGGAAATAATAAAATGTTACTAAACTTAAGAGTAGGTAAATTTGAAATCACAATATGGTGCTATGTAGTGTTAGTGAAAATGAATTGATATTTTCAAACCTGTTATTTTTCGCTAATGTAGCGACACATATTTTGTACTAGATACGACAGTCACTGTTACAATCAACATGGCTCATGACAAAAGCTACTCGACAGATCTGATAAAAAAGTAATAAGACCACGTCATTATAGCTCAAGTATAAACACATTTGTCAGCAACTCTGATCATCGAGCGATTCTTCTGCAAAGATTTTGAAAGCCCGTTACTTTGAAAGTCATATCTTGTTGCAGTCGAAATGCCTACAAGTGTTCTGACTTTGTTTCCCGACAGAAGTAATGCCGAATTATCTCACACCGCGAACAGCAGCGGAGGCTTCCTGCCAAAATCCTCGAGGTGTGGCGGCTCTCAGCACGCTTTAGCGCCTTAGCCCTGAGATTCCGTGCGCCACACTTCCATTCCTACCAAAGTATGCAAATTGCGTCCCCAACCTCGGTGTCCCGCCTCCAGCTCGCTTCTGCACTTTACTTTGTAGCCAACTTCGGTGAGAACCCAGATTCAGTAAACTCTGCTTCAGAAGACGTTTTGCTTTGGACATTTGTTGTAAAAACAATATTATTTTTCCATCTTGAATGATGTCTTTCTGCTAAAACAATGGCTGTAAACGTCATGCATTAATCTTCTTTCGGTAGAACATATGGACTGTGATAAGGACTTGAATTTCTTTCCAAACACTACGTGTATCAGCCAATTACATGAACATGACATTTTGTGATGCCGACGGAAGCTAAAAGGTGCTTGACTTTGAAAAATGACTGTGATATTCTCAATTGTTAATAAATTTGTAAATTATTTAAACAAATAGTGATAGTTGTACTCTAAATGAGTAAACGAGAAATTAAATTAAAACTCCTCATTTAGCAAATGAACTAGCGCTTAAATTATTTCAACGCCCTTCCCAGCAAAGACATTGCACAAAGGCATCTTGAAAAAGTTCCAAGATAACCCGGTCTGTTCTGGGAAACGCGTGAGCTTTATTCCTCCTTAGTTCGTTCTTGGGGAAGATACTCTTGGTTCCAAAAAAGGCCTCGTGCAGTGGGGTAGGTTCCATACGAGCAGGGAATACTCCAACGCTCCGGAGCGGCAATACCCCGCACAGAGCAGAGCAAGCCGAGTATAGATGCTTCCCGCGTTGGGCATGAACGCGCAAAATCCATATCATGGCCATTTCCAAGCGCCCAATATCCAAATCTACACAAGGAGGCGATCGAATTTGACAAAAAAATGGGGATTGGGCACAAATTTCCTGTGAGCCATTCGCTTTACTACCCGTAGCAGAAGCCCCCTCCCAACAAAGGAAGGCAAAGCACTGCCTTTTTAACACCACCTTCTGGCATGGAAGTGCGTTAACTCAAATTTTGATTGAGAAGACATAACCTTTTGCGGCATCGTAAGAGACCCTTCGGCTCCAGACGCGCCGATACTCTTTCCGTTCTGGCGTGGGGTATAGCCACGAGGCGTCACGGAGTATTCCCTCTAGGCCGTCGCTACGCCACGGCTGGGCCAAGCGCACTGAAGAGTGAAAACAGCGTGCGATTGACTTAGTCCCTCTCTGGCCAAATCGAGTTTGATAGAACAAATGAGTCGTTAAAACAATGCTGTTCCTTACGTATTGAAAATGTCAAAACAGGTTGTCCGAAAACCAGTTTGTTGCATAGTTAAAATATTTTACAGGCACTTTTTTGTCACAACAAAAGAGCACTAACAGTTACTACTGGTGGACACAGTCAACATTGTTTTGGCTCCGCTGCCGTCTGAAACTTGTTAACAAATTTTTCCATTTAAAATGAAAATAAAAAATGGCGCACTGACATAAATTGGGAATTTAACGCGGGCAGTGGATGTAGGTGTCGGGCGAGGCCGGTGAGCGAGGCGAAGGGACTCTCCGGAACACGGGTGTGGCGGTCGCCGTGTCAGCTGTCAAGGCCCGGCGGGCGAGCGGGCCCTCTTCACGTATTCAGTCCGACATTAAGCCGCTGCGGGTCGCGCGGTCAGTCCGGCCGGACCTTTGACCTACCGGGCAGCTCTTGATTCATCACTCGGTGGGTTGGTCGAGCCATCCTCCGGTGAAGCTCGGAATGGAGGTGACGGTCTTCGTCTCGAATAACCCCGCACTGACATTCGGGAGTCATTCCCGCCAGCATCCGCCTGGCGTCCGGTCGCCGCCCCTGTGCTTCCGGGGCATTGCCATTTCCGGGACTCCCCCACGTTGTGGAGGTTTCCGGGAAGCGAGGGGAGTACCCTGCTGATGCGGGTCATGCTGGGCCGTGCGCTTGGCAGTGCCCCACGTGCCTCTCAAACTGTCATCCAGGCTGGAAGAGTGGAAGTGGCATTCGGAGAAGCGCGCACAGAGGATTTGCATAGAGAGCTGTCATTAGCGGCGGGGGAACACTTCGAGACTCGCACGGCGGGGAGGCCATTAGTGGGGGCAGGGCAGGGGACTTGTGAAAAGAGCACCGTCGCCCGACGCCGGGCAGTTCCAGAGAGCTCGGTCTCTCGGAACCAGTACAGGATTCCCAATGACACAGAGAAAAGGAACGTCAGTTCAGAATCATGCTGCAGGCTGCACTGTTCCACAAGCTGCAAGCGCCCCGGGTGGTCTTGGCCGAGGGCGGCACGGCGTGGGCCAAACCCTTGCACTACCTTGCCGGGCTTGGCCACCCCCACCCCTCGGCGAGCGCGCCACCCCCGGCCGCGGCGCGGCGCCGCTCAGACAGTCCGTGGCCGCGGCGACGAACAGACCGAGGCGCTCCGGACGCTCCCCGACCGGCACGGCGACGACGCTCTCGACGCGAGCCGGTAGCCCGCGCGCTGCCGGCCAACGCCGCGGCATGGGTGCCCCGCCGCGCCGTGCCAGCGCCCCGCGCAGCGCCCCCACGGCCTCCACGTCGGCGGCGTGAGCCTGCGGCCGCCTCCTACATGCACCACAGCATGGCAGTGACGTCGGACGGGCCGCGGCGTGCCCTGGCGCGGCGCGAAGAGTGTCGAGCTGCGCGGCGAACTGGCGTGCCAACCCCCACCGCCCCCCGCAAGGCCTCGCTCCAGTCCAGCTGACTGACGCGCGCCTGTCAGAGTGCCGCTTTCCTGTTGCGGTTTTCATTTCCCCGTGACGAGTGTCGACCGCCAGTGCGGTGCCAAAGTGACTGTATTGGGACTGAAAGTGCCTCGCGGGATTAAAAGCACGCTGGCCGAGAGAGGATTTTAGCAGCAGCGGACGCCACCGCGGGGATGGGCGGGTGAAGCTCGGTGAGTAGACAGAAGGGTGGGCGCTTCACCACCGAAAGCTGCTCTCTGTGAACACAGAACAAAGGGGAGGTGCGCACACCCAGCCGTCGCGCGAGAACCCAGCAAGCTGGAACACTTTAGAGGCAACAAATTGGCTGTCGATAGTGCTGAATAACACATGACGCAGCTTGTCTGGAGTCTGGAGCGCGGGAGGCGAGGCGCGGGGCTGCCTCCGCTGCAACATGTGGCGCCGTTGTTTATCCTGGAGCCGCTGACGGTCTACTTCCTGCCCACGCACCTGCAGCCCCGGGAAAGGCCTACAGTAAACATTAGGCGCCACCTGCTGGAGTCAACCCAGCGTATGTGTGCGTGTGTGTGTGTGTGTACGTGAGGGCAGGCGCAGTTCAGAATGGATCGCAGTAAAAGATGCTAGTCGGCGTTGCGCGAGAGAGCGCGGGGCTCAGTAGACAGTCCCGCCGAACTTCGACGCGCTCACGTTGCCTACCCACCAGGCGCTCACCGCTGGCGGCCTCGCCCGCCCCAATATTTATTTCCTCGTCGCTCGCGTCGCTCGCGGGAAGAGGGGAGGCAACGGCACGCCCACCCGCATGTCACACGCTGCGCGTCGCTCCGCTCGAAGGCTTTTCAATAATCTATCAAACGGGCCGCGCGGCGTGAGGTGCTGCCGCGCTGCCGCATGCTGCCGAGCGATTCCACGGGGACTCGTTTGGGCTGTCCTCCTCGCACCTCGACGGGGCGCCCCGTGAGTGCGACACAGACAGAGCGACGAAACGACTCTTCAGTCTGTTGGGTGCGAACGCCTCGCCGGATTGGCTGGCCGAGTCAGAGGGGGTGGGTGAGGGTCTTATGGGCGTTAGAGCGTCTCCGCGCCGTAAACCGCACTTGGAGGGCGTCCCTCCCCTCCCCCCACCCCGCGGCGCGCGAAGCGGCCGACCGAGTCTGACCGAGTCGGCGGCCGGGGGCTTTGCGCTGCCAAAGGTGAAATGACAGTGTCAATTTACACACCTTGCCTGGGGCCTCGGTCGGGGGCTGGGGGCGCAGGCACGGTAATCCAGCGCCGTGCTACGGACCTTGCTGCACCGCCATTGCCACACGATCACGCTAAAGGGCTGCACTCCGAGCCACGCGAGGGGCGAGGGCAGAGAAAAAATTGCTCGCCTGGATGCAGATCAGCAATTCAAAAATCAGGGTATGAATTACAGGCTAAATAAAACATGAGCACCGCCGCCTCGGCTCCAGCACGACGCCGGGGCGCGCGGTGCTTTGGCCTGTGGTGCGCCGCCGTTGGCCGTGGCTGGGTGATGGCGATGCCGGGGGACTCTGGAGCGAGTGGGACGCCGCAGCTGGGTCCGGTCGCTCGGCCCTAAGGGCCCTAGCCCCAAGAGCCCCAGTGCTGGACCAGCCACTACTTGTCCTCTACCGTACCGCCAGTGCTGCCACCGTTCTGATTGCCATAGCAGCGCTGGTGGCCGCGGCCCCACAATACACAGCCCACCGCGATAAGAGAGGGACAACAAGGAAGGCTCTGCCCGGCGGCGTCCTCCGGGGCCTTTGTTTGGGCTCACCAGGACCCAATGGACCGCGGGGCCAAGCACCCTCGACCGGGTCGCAACGCGGGGCCAGAAGCCCTGCGCGGGCAGGCAAAAGTCACAACACTTTGTAGCTACTCGGTTAACAGGAGTAGATCCAAAACAAGCCAAGTCGTTAGATAAGACAGGGCAGTCCTGTCGTGAACATGTTTAAATCAGCCTTCGGGGACTGCAGACTGTGCCCGGAGAGTTTATGTCTACCTTATCCGTCCTCCCGATCCTCTGTGTGGGCCGCGCGAGCGGAGGCGGTTTACAGCGCCAGTCGCCCTTTGCCTTGGCTCTGCCGTCCTGGGGTGGTTCGCGACCGTGCCGAGGAGGCGGCCGGGCCGAGGGCCGGGCAGCCCGGCATCTTTCCGCCATCGATTGGCGCGTGCGTGTGGCACGGCAGAGGTGGAGGCGTGCGGTCAAAACTTTTCGCGGCTATCGTGAAAACGTAACACAACAACAACAACCCAGCGTGCTAAGTGCGCGCCGCTTAAAGGCGGGTGCGGCGATAAACCGCTTTAAAGTTGAGCAACCGTGTTTTGTCGCTGTCTCTCTCGCACTTACGGGGCATCCCGCGAGGGAGCGACAGAGGCAGCGCGTGTTGGCGGTGCGCGTTGGACCGGCACAGGATCAAGACGACAATAACGTGCCGGGCCGCCCGAGCCATCAGACTGCGGAAGCCCGGCGGGAGAGGCTTACTTAGGCCACTGTCAACGGATGGCAATAATTAATCAGCCTGTGCCACGCCACTGCACCGGCAGGATGTAGCGTGTACACAGCGCCGCCCATCGGTCTCCTTAACGACGGTCCGATTCGGCGTGCCCGGAGGCAAGCCGAGCCGAGCGTGCCCGGGATGCTGGCGCACAGTGGGCCAGGAGACCGGTGGAACGGCCAAAATTCTAGACGCGTTTTGAGCTCCAGAGTCGCTAAACAGGACTCGAACCGAACGTGTCACCCCACCAATGGATAGCTCTCCGAACGAGGAATCCATTGGTAGGGTCACACGTTCGGTTCGAGTCCCAATTAA